CCACCAGAAAGCCACTGAATGCAAATGGAGAACAAAACTTTTGGGTTGCACCAAGACACAACTGTGCCTGTGAGTCTCATAGCAGAGGAGCCCTGTTGATGTCCAGAGCCTTCTAGCTATCAGAGGAGCCACCACAGTGGGGTATCACAGCCAGGATCTCCTTTATCCCCTTGCTTATTCTCATCATTGCCTTGCAACCAGAGAACACACCTAGAGCTGTTACACAGACATTGGGTACAAGCCATGGCTGTAGTGCTTCAGCTGATTCCTGGCCAGATCAAGAAAGGGTGTAGATACTCCCTAGGGAGGGAGGAAATTAAAAAGATTTTTTAAAAGCTTCTTAAGATGACATGCTGAACAAAATACTGTCTTCACACAGACTGGCACATGAATGAATGCTGATCAAGTGTTCAGAACTACCTCTGGGTTTGGGGCGTTCGTGGTGACCATGCCTGCATTCTTCAACCCATATCCTGAGCTAAGGAAATCTATACATTTGAGTTCTGGGAAATAAGAGCCTTTCACATGGAAGGAAACAGCTCATATAGCATTATACTTCTGTCTGTGCCCCTGAAAAAACGTAACTTTTCAGACATTCTTTCAGTTGCATTTTCTTATAGGAAAAAAATCACAGAAAAGCACAAAGACTAGTGATTTTGTTTCCCACCTGCATAAATGGTCCCTTGATTTTATTGGTTTCTGCCTCATTTTTAAACCAGTATTTTCCCAGCTTCATGGCTAACTTTTCCTGGAGCTGCAGTACATTGCTATTTTCTTTTGGTTTTGCTTGCATCCATTGTGATACTTAAAATTCTACACCACACTCCCCAAATCTATCTTGATTTCCCAACCCAAGACACTCAGTTGCCTTCTAAAACCAGCTTTTCCCTTTCCTTGGCTCTTTTATTCCTCCACATATTTTCCCACCTTGTTCCACCCACTCTTGGGGACAAGCAAACAGCTCAAAGCTAACGATGTCTCTCAAGCAAGCAGCCTCTTTAAAAGCATTCCAGTTTGAACATTTGTCTGGGCAGCGCAGTTCCCAGAGTCACCCGTCTGCAATTCAACGCCCTGCAGACCCAAGGATAGGCAGTTCAGACTTTTTCACCCCCCAAAATCCATGCACTGAGGGACATCTGAAAAGGCCAGATGGGCAAGTTTTGTAGGAAACAGGATGGACTTTCAGTCTGCATCTCTTCCCTTTGCTACATTTCAGCTTCTGTCTTGCAACCTGACAGACTGGGGTGGAAGTAAAAATAATATGAGGAGAAAACAAACCAGGTCGCTTATGAGACCCTGAGGCTGGAGCCACATTCACTGCCTGCAGTTTGCAGCCCTGGCACAAAATTTCCACCTGTACCATGCACCAAAATAGCACCTTCGTTTCCAAGGAAGCATCACTTCAGTGACACCCTTGCATGATTGAGCTGGTACAAGCAATTTTAATTTTTAGGGAGCAGCATGCAGTGGGGACAAGGAAGACCCCATGGCCCCTTCTCAACTGTGCTCAGACTGCTGTTCCTTCCACCTCCCTTTCACAATTCCCTTGAGAAAACTGCAGATGGAAGAGGCTGGGTGGTGGGAAGGTCTGGATGTGCTGGGAATTTGGCCTGGCTTGCCCCAGAGCTGGGTGAGACATGTTGGTGTTCCCAGGCAGCAAGGATAGCTCTCTGCTCTGAGTAGAGACAGGGCATAGGGAAGCATCTCTCTGAGAAATAAAGAAGCATGAACTCATTTCTCTTTGACTCCAAACACTCAGATGTTGATACTCTGTGAGAGTTTCCCCCAAAATCTGCTTTTCTCCCCCTCACACATAGCCCCATCGCAGAGCCCCTCTTCCTACAGGGAAGATCACCTGTCCATGCTGATGGGAAGCTTTCTTCTGCTCCAGGAAAGGTGCTTCAGGAAATCAGGTCTCAGGGTGTTCACCAGGAAGGCAGCACAGCTGCTTTCCCTCTTCCCCTCCAAAACTGTCATGCCAAAAAGGAATGCAGCAGTTTCTATCATGTCTTTGAACACAAAGCAATCTTCTCCTTGCTCCCAACAAACCTCCATCCAACAATGACAGGCCAAGGGGGCCAGAGCAGCAACAGAGCAGATGTCACAGCACAGAACTGCAGCTTATCCAGCTCTTCTGACAACAGTTCACAATTAACTCTGACAAAAGGACATTTCTCCAAGGCAGTCACTGCAAGTGGTGGGGCTAGAGTAAAGCATCCAGAGCCTGAGCATTGGTCTCAGCCACTTACCATCTTCTGGGGATCCATAAACTCTCCTCACAGGCCACCTAATCCTAAACATGCAGCGTTAAGGCTCGGTGTCACACTGGGCTCCTGAGCTCACCTCGTTGTTGTGACAGTACAAAGGGGTGGTGAAAGGGACAGGGTGGTGGTGCTGGGGAGGAGAGGAAGGAGGAAAGAACTGAGGAAGGGAGGATGTAGCTGCTGTGCAGCTGTGAGGAGGGAATCTCATCAGCTGGGAACCAGTGTCTGTAGGTGACTTCATAGTGTAAAAGCCCATGACATTGGCCAAAAAAGAAATTAGAGCATGAGAGTGAGAGAGAGGGGTGGACAAAATTGTGACCTTGCACAACCTGGCACAGTGCCTGAGAGCCACAAGAGCAAGAAGTCACTTGGGGTAAGAGATAGGCTGCCCCAGGAAAGGGTTTTCTTCTGGAGATGCTGGACAATTAACAGCCATTGTTTGTTCTCTCCCTGTGCTGAATGTCCAATCCTTTCAGCCAAAGCAGCCTGCACAAAAAGGGAGTCAGGCTGGGGCCAGCAACCTTTTAACCAGTCTTTTCCCCTTTCAAAGTTGAACCTAAGTAGGCAAGATACCCTGTCCCAAAAGAGCAAGATCCTGCTATGGAGAGGCATGGCACAGTGTTCCTGTGTGTGGACTCCTGGTGCTGGCCCACACCTTTGTCCATGACCACACCAATGCTGGTGATGCTGAGAGCACCTGGTGCCTGTTCAGTGGCACTCTGTCCAGGCCCCATCACCACAAGTCTGTCTTACTGGCCCAGCTCTCTCTAACAGGCAAAGTTCTGTCCTTACTCCCACGTGGTCACTGCCACCCATCATCTCCCACCCCAGGCTCGCAGCACTCGCTTCACAAGCACAGAATAAACCCACAGCTGCTGTTGCCACCACAATCCTCCTTTAGCAGTGTCCCCTGCCTCTATCTGAAACCATCAGACAGGTCATGCCAGTGCCATGAGTGAGATATTGATTGTCAGGAGGCATGGGGGATGGGGAGAGGATGCAAGATCTTCCCTTTCAGTGCAAGCCGTAACCTAGCTCCCCTTGCATCCTGGACATGACTATTATTCTGGCCATGGGGAGAGAGCCAAGATCCCTTCTCTGTCCCCTCTTCCCCCATCTGCATTGCCTTCCACAAGTGCCACATCCGAGCAGGCTATTTCTGTGCTGGCAGTGGTTGCCTTCTCAAAATTGCCTTGACAATGCCTGTGCCGCCCGTTCCCTGCCTCCTGAGAGCAGCTGCCAAGCTGAGGTTCCCCCTCATCCTCCATTATCAATATGAAAAAAAGGCCCAGAAAGGTTTTGTGTTCTCAGCCCAGTCCGGACAGGCAGGATTCAGCATGTGAGTGAGTGTTTCCCCAGGTTGGGATTATTTTCTGCTCCGGGGAGATCGGCCATAGAGAGGATGCTGCTGTCTCTCCCTCCCTGTCCCCACCACCCCCTGTTGCTGCCTGTCAGGCCTTTCTCCTCATTGGGATGCAAGGCTGGCCGCTGCGGCCATCCGCTGAGCCGTCTGCTCCTGAAGGCACCTTCCCCTCCTTCCCCCCTCCTCCCGGGGCTGCCTGTGGAGCTATTCTTCAGCCTCTGCATTTCACAGCAGCTCAGAGGCAGATGCATCAATCCTTTCAGGGGATGGGGACGTGAGGAGAATGGCAAGGGAGCTGCAGGCAGGTGTTGGTAGGTTCCCAGCCATCTCACAAGCCTGGTCCCCCTCCCTGTCCCCCGCTGGCTTGTGCCTGAGGCTTGGACTGAGGCATGGGGCAGGAATGAGGAAGGGAAGAGGAATGGGGGGGAAGAGCTGGGATATGCTGACCCCACAGACATGCCCAGCAGGGTTGCAGGCATGTTCCCAGCTATCTGCACCCTGTAGCCTTTACCCGGTGCAGGTAGCAAGGATCCCACCCTGCTCACTAAAAGTTTACACCGGGGGCCAATTTGGCCCTGGTGCAGACAGCTGAGGGCGGGCGAACAACCCCATGGCCACCAAAGAGCCGTAAGGGCGGGGAGGAGAGGGGCTGTTCCTCCCAAAGTGACGGGCTGGGTGAGCAGTACTCCTGTCTCACACACTGGCATGGGGTGGGGATGATTCGGGACCGGGTTCCCAGGAGTCCCAGGAGCAGCCACTGCGGTCCCGCTGCTCGCCCAGCACTGGCCACGGGGCAGGAGCCCGCAGCCTGCGGGAGGGGCGGCTGCACCGGTGTGTGTTTTACCCGTAGCTGCCACAATCCTTTGACTGTGTGTTCAAAAGCCTTGAGTCTGTACATTTAAGAATCAGCAAATTAGAAAAATTGTCCTGAAATGTTGGAGGGGGGGAAAAAGGCAGGAAGGCAGAGAGGGGATGAGGAGGGACTAAGAGGGAGGGAAGGGGTTGGTAAAAGAGAGTTCATCCAGGGGCACTGCCCTGGCTTTGTGCCCATCACCTGCGGGCTGGCAAGGACGGAGAGAGGCAAGGACGAAAAGGGAGGACTGATTTCACACATTCAGTGCATATCATACAACCAGGGCAAGGCTTTCTTCCTGGGGCTCCTACCCAGGATGGCATCGCTGCCATGGCCAGTCTAGAGCCCTGCCCAGCAGCCCGAACCATTCTCACAGCAGGGTTACATTTCACTGCTTGATTGCTCGGGGGAAAGATACCTTCTCCTTTCTTTCTGTTTTTTTTTTTTTCCTTTCTTTTTAATTATATATATATTTTTAAGTACTTTTTTCTCCCTTTTTTGTTTCTTTTTTTTTTTTTTTTAATATATAGTCTCACAATTTTCTGTAACAGCAGCTTCTTTTTGTATTGGTGTGGAAGTTATATAGAGAGAGATATCTATAAATATATATAAGCCAAACTGCCTTACAGGTTGTTGTTCTGTGGGATTTTTGTTGGTTTGCTTTTTGTTTTGCTTTTTTTCAGTGTTGTATGTGTAGCAGGCACTTGAGTTTATATGAAGATGTTTGCTTGGGAGCTGAGGGGCAAAGGGTTTGGGAGGAGGAGAAGGAAGGAAGGAAGGACGGGAGGAAGGAGCAGGGACTTCAAACAAGTGGCCACTGCTAGCCAAGGATGTCCAGGTAGATTGGTGTGGCCTTGCCCAGAGCATGGAGGATCTTGTAGATCTCCTTGATGTTGAGCCGTTGCTGAGGTTCCCTCTGCCAGCAGCCCAACATGATGTCATAAACCTCCTTGGGGCAGACTCGGGGCCTTTCCAAAACTCGGCCTTGGGTAATGCACTCAATTACCTAAAAGAAAGAAAGAAAAGAAAAGAAACACTGAACACCAGCTGGGCAGTTTATGGAGGATGTCCTGTCCCTGATACTGCTTGGCTGATGTGGCACCATTCAGTGAATGGGAGCACTGAGAAGCCAAATCTCAGATCTACACAACCTCAATGCTCATCTGTTTGTTGCTAGTGATAATTTTACCATGAAAAGTTTGTCTCCAGCTGCAGTTTTTCAAACTGCAAAAACCTTCCCTGTCTGACACCTACCTACCTCAATGCACTCTCCAAAGAGGAGGTCACAAGCAAATGAAATAGGTTTTAATTTATGATGTCAGTTTTTCCGGCTAAATGAAGAAGGAAACAAAGTCTTAAAATCCCCAAAGTACAGTAATATTTTGCACAGCTGAAATTATATTTTTCTTGTCTGAAAACCAAGCGTCCTTTCCTTTGCAAAGCCCAGGAGAGGTTTATAAGGAAGAGTTCAGAGCATCTTTTCCGACATACTTCTCCTCTTTCTGCCATAGAAAAGCAACTAAAAGAATGAAATTTCATGTCAAATCACATCTGTGAGATGGAGAAAAAAATTTACAGTGCTATCACTCAGTTCTGGGTCAGATTGGTGCTGCTAATGAGAAAAATGTGAGGTCCTGGATAACAGTAGAGTCTCTTCGGAAGGATGCCATTGGAAAGGACTCTCCTAAGGGTCTCTTTGTGTATTGTTTACAGGAGGAATGAATGAAAAGGAAAGGGAAATATGAGTTTCCAGAGAGCTGCTATTACTGCCTGGCCTCCTTGGTTGGGGTTGATGAGTCCCAGCATTGCAGCGCGAGCGGCCTGCCACGCTCTGCAGATAAACACCAGTCCCAGGCAGCGTGTTGAGGGAAGCCACCCAGCAAGAGGTGTTTGGAGTTTATCATTTATGAATAGTAATGGTCCCACCACGCAGCTCGAGGGATACTTATCACTGTGCTGTTTGCATACAAATACAGAGGGGAGAGATTAGGACCTGCTGAAAGCGAGGAGAGCAAGACACAGCATGAAGAGAAGCCTGCATTGCCACAGAGCTGCTGGCTGCTCACTGTGGGGAGGAGGTGAGTTATGGTTCCTGTCAAGACATCCTGGACATGCACAGGAGCCCTGTGCTGGGCTCTTTCTGTCCAGGGGAAAAGGAAAGGTGTAGAGAGAAGTTAATAGACTGGCTGAGTGGTGCCCTGCCTCGTTCCTCTGCTCAGAGATGGTATCTCCCAGCCTTGCAATAAGCTGCTAAAAATGCTATGGGAGAGTGAGGCCATGCAGGTGGCACAGGAGGGAGTGGGCATCCCAGCCTTGCCAATGCCAAAACCCAGCAGGGGTGATGCTAGGCCAGCCTGGTGCTTGCTCCTGGTCCAGTCTTGGCAGCCAGGACCTTGTCACAGGCTCATTGACTTGTCCCTCCATGGGCTCTGGCACTGCATCTGGGCTGCCACAGGGACTTGCTCAGATGCACACCATCCAGGAGCTGGTGGAGGTGTCAGTCCTCTGCAGCCACATAGGTTCTGCCCATCCCTCCACAAACTGTGAAAAACGAGACTGATGGGAGCTAATGTGGCTCCCTCTCATCAGGATACTGTGGTTAGCAGGCAGAAAGAAGTGGACACACCAACAGGTAAGGGAAGGATGATACTTTATCCCAGGGATGGTAGCAAACCAATACACCCTCAAGATTTCAGGTGGATATTTTCAGCCCCACTGCCCTGCAAAGGAAACTGAGGCAGAATGCCTGGGCAAAGCTGAGCTGTCACACTCCAGTGTGCCGACTGCCCGTGTTCAAGCTCCATGTGCTCATTTGTGTGTGTTTGTATTTACCCTCACAGGGAAATGCAAGAGCAGCTCATTAAATAGCGTGACAAATAACTTCTGTCGCTGTCGATTCCATTGTTTGTGCCTCTAAAATGTTTGCGTGTGCTACTTTGGGATATACAGTCAGGCCCCATTGAGCACACGAATGGGCAAGTATTAGAGCTGTAAAGCAACACCTTGGATTTGCCATCTCTGCAACTCACTTAATTAAGGGATCTGTACCCAGAAAGCAGAAAATGCACATTTTTCATTACAAAAGGTGAAATTTCTGAAATCCATTAGATACACAGTAGGATAAAAATGTTCAAGGTTCCCACACACTGCTATGTCAATGCATCTTTTTTCCTCTTCTATAATACCTCCTGCTATTCCAAGCAAAAATCTTCCAATGCATTTCTGCTGATGTACCTCAAACCTCAGCAGTGACACCCTGCTAATCCTAGCCAGCCTTCCCTCAACATTTTTACAGAGCAGCTCTGTCCTGGTGGGCCACAACTTTTGCTAGTCAAAGAAATAACAAGGGCAAACAAGCTCCATGGGTTCCACCCTCAGTGAACTGGGGCAAACCATATTATAGATATCCCAATGGCAAAAACCCCAAGGAAATGTGCCATATGTATGTAATGCATATATGTGATATATCAGGCTTAAAACAATTTCTCTCAAACTGGAGCCTGCAGTGAGAGCTTTAGCTACAAAAGGAGAAACCAGGGAAAATTCAAGGCATGACTTAGATCTCAGCAATAATTTGGGTATCCCCAGTTCTGGCAGCACCCTGGGAGTTTATGAGATATGACAGATAACGTCAGGAACTTAGCAGCAAGAGGCTGAGGATTACCCAGTACACGGCTTTGGTAGAGCTCTTTGATTCCTGCAGACCTCAGTTTTCCCAGCTCTTAAACTGAGATAATGACACTTATCCTATGGCTTCACCATGGGAGTGCCAAGGAGGGGACCATCCGTGCACTAATTTCTTTGCAAACAACCTGGAAAGGAGAGATGGCAAAAAATACAGTTTTCAGCTGAAGTGTCTCGGCACTGTTGTACCTCTGTGTTTGAGAGCTGGAACCAGGGCTGCTTCCCGTATGTGAAAATCTCCCAGAGGATCACCCCGAAGCTCCAGACGTCACTCTCTGTTGTGAATTTCCTGTACATGATGCTCTCCGGAGGCATCCAGCGGATAGGCAGCATGGTGTGTCCTCCAACCTGGGTGAGGACAAAGGCACAGGGAAAGCTGAGTGAGGGCACCCCTGAGGAAGGGGTCATAGAATCAGATCATTGAGTCAAGCTCCTGGCCCTATGCAGGACACCCCAATAATCACACCATGTGCCCGTGAGCATTGTCCAAATGCTCCTTGAGCTCTGCCAGGTGTGGAGCTGTGAGCACTTCCCTGTGGAGTCTGTTCCAGTGCCTGAGCACCTCATGTCACGTCAGCCCTGACATGATGTGCACAAACTCAGGGCCTCCTTGTGAGCTACAGCAACAAGGAGCTGTTCCAAAAAGCTGGGCTGGCTCCTGCCTCCCCTACCACTCATGGGTTTACCCACCAATCCCACCTGGTTAACACAGGGAGTGAAATGTATCAAGATAAATTACATCCTCTCCACCCAAAATGGGCTGGCAAGGCAATCAAATGCAGAATGCCAAGAACATACTCCAGCCCCACAGTCTGGTGAACTTGGACACAGAGCAAGAGCAGTCAGTAAAGAATTTCAGGGCCTCAGTACTCTGAGATACCCAGCAGAGATACAGCATGAGGGCTGTCCCTCTTCAGAAAGGTTCTCTAAAGCCATGCACAGGCATCTGTGCATCACCTAATTGCATGAAAGGTTTTGTACTCACAAAACTGTGCTACAGGCCTTTTCAGAGAGTGCTTTCCATATGTAAATGACTGCAGGACCACACTGCAAAAGGTGGTCTGTAGGTAAAGAACAGGCTCTTACAGGTAGGGATATGGTCATCACTCAATGGAGGAGGGAAAGCCAGCCCCTTTGGAGAGTTTGGAACGGGGTGTATAAAATTGGGGTATGCCAAGCCAGGGAAGGGCACTTCCTCAGGTAAGAGTCAGCCCTTCTGTAAGGCACACGAATCCAGCAGGTGCACAGGACGCTTGCAGGATACATGCAATCAGTTGCAAAGCAGATGGATTTACCTTCGGATTCACTAGAGATTCCTAAACAAGTTTCTCTGAGCAGAACAAGGTTTTTTCCTGTTCTGTCCTTCTGCACAAGAAGCTCCATCTCTGGGGAAACAGCTAATTGCTAGGACCAACCAGTGCTGGAAGCAGCAGGACTGCAAGTCTCCACACTTGTTTCTGCTGAGGGTAAAGTGTCTGAGGCTTTAGAGGTGATGAGAAAAGTGCTTTTGTGGAGCTGCTTGGAAGGCTGCTTGTCTCATTAGGGACACCAAAAAAGCAGTGCTAATAACTTTGCAGCACTGCAGCTGAATCAAACAGGAAGAAATCTCTCTGGTCCTACCAAGGATGAGGGGAGAAGGTATCTGCTGTCTAGAACTCCAGCATATGTGTGGCTATTTCAAGTAATGAGATTGTTGTGCTTGCTGGGATGAAAACATTTCTTTTACAAACAAAAGCTCTCCTCTGAGCTGCCTGTTTTTCCACAGGTTCCTTTGACTGATTAAAGCAGAGCTAGTGTGGGGAAGGGTCAGTACAGGGACACTGCAGTGCTTGGAAACAAGAGTGTGTTGGAATAGGGTGTGAAAGGGGTAGGATGCTCAGCTGGCTTTCTGCATGGAGGGGCTCAGATTTCTGTGGGGCTTGGCAGAATTTAGACTCAGGTTTGCAGTGTTGTACTCAAAGGGCTACTTACTCTGAAACAGACTCTCCCTCAAAAAAGAGGAGTTTTAAAAGTCTCAGGGAGATCTTTCTTTCCTAAATGCAGACACTTGATGATAAAAAGCTCATTGCAGCTCCACACCTCCTGTTTAGAGGCGGCTTGGCTGGCGTGGTCTCAGCTTGCTGCTCTGAACTCCCAAGAATGTTCCGCCGTAATGGAAATGGAAATATGCTTTTCTTTGTTTGTTCCTTCGAAACCCTGGCTGCAAATTTAGCTCTTCCCTGCATTGCTAGCTTTTACAAGTTGCTTCCCCTTCTTGCAAAGGGCTCTGAGGAAACGTTATAAGCAGAACAGGACATACATCAAACCTGATTGTTGCAAAAACTGTTTTGTGCTAATGCTTATTTTATTCTCCTTTAAGTAGCACTAACTCTTCAGTTTTCCAGCAATCTCGAAATGATTACTTGTTGAAAAGCTCTCTACATTTGCAATATCCTGAATATTTCAGGACCATTTGCGATTACAGGTAGTACAATGTACTGAGCACAGTTAACTCCCTTTTGAACAGGTCTTAGAGCAGTTCAGAAGGTGTGAACCAGGCCCTCAGCTTACACAGACAGTAGCACAGCAGCCTGCTCAAATGGGAGGGTCCTGATTTACACCACTCGAGGATCTGGCCCTGAAAGCAGATCAGAGAAGCCAGTAGTGCCATCTCAGTTCTAATAAGCTAAAATAAAGTCAAGGTCTTTGGTCTCCTCTGGACACACCCTGGTGAACATCTGCCAGCAAAATTACATACACAGTAAAGAGCTGTCCCAAGGATGTGACAACACAACCTTGGCTTAGCTCATAGGTTGAAGTTCAGAAACAGCCAAAGCATTCCTCCCAGCTATGTGAGACACAGCTTTTACTACAAATTAATCTGGTAATAATTAATAACCAAATTAATTTGGGGAAGAAAATTCAAACAAACAATGCCCAGAAATTTATGGCTCCCAAAACATGGCCCAGCTATGCTCAGAGATGAGAAGCTGCTCCTTGCAGAGGCATCCTTTGCATCTCAAACAAGGTGCCACATTTTTGAAAGCAAAGATTAAGCCTTGTGCTTACCAGGCATAAGCAGAACAGGCATCAATTAAACTCTACCATAAACCCTCTCCAATGTCTAACCTAGCACATAAGGCTGACTACTACGCCTTAAAGGATTGCCTTTTACTATCCCTTACTGCTTCCCTTGCAAACTGATTAGGATTAAAATTCCCATTTCACAGATGAGAAAACAGATGCAGGAAGGCAGGGAAAGGCCCTGCTCCAAAGCTGTGCAGTAAGTGAACACCAAGTCCTCCTGGTCTGCAGTCAGCCATACCCTGTTATTTGATGATGTAGCAAAATGATTTAGAGCTGAGCACAGAGGGGTTGTGCTAGTGATGCCATGGGAAGCAGAGTGTGTCCAGGGTGACAGAAATCCTTTGCATAACGTGTAGTGATTGTGAGCTGTGTTCTGCCACTGTAGACTGGCACGTGATCCCCACAGCTACCTACTTGTTTTACAGGACCAGCCATTGCCAGAAGCATAAAAGCAAAATGATGCTATTAAATCAGGCTGAAAAAAGGGTGCTGTTTTCTCCTTTTGCAAAGGCAGCTTACAAGGCATATCCTTGGCTTTGGAAAGAATAATTACCATGCCTTTAGGGAGAAGGTGAAAGTTTATTTCAGCCTCTGCTTGCTCAGAGCTGGGTCTAGCAGGTTTCAGAAATAAGTGACCATGCAGGACTGGTGTTTGTTAAGAGCATGCTAATTCTGAGTCTTCTCTAAAACAGCCATGTCATCTTCCCACACCATCTTCTCCATTTCTCTGGGGAGCTAGGGATGGGAGAGCCCTGGTAAAAGCTAGGCTCACCTTCCCCAAGGGTAAAATGTCCTGAAAGAGTGACATTACAGCATCTCCCCTGGAGACACTCCATAGCTTGGAAGAGGGCTCTGCTTGCAAGCAAATAAGACAAGTAAATCCTCTTCTGCTCCTCTCTTTAAATCCTATGATGCTGCCAAGCTTGCCCTTTCGCCTTGTTATTTTAATGCTTCACAGACCTGCAGACTGGCCTCTTTATCCCATTGCCATGGCTGTCTAGCTTTGTTTGACATTTCTAGCTAACTTTCTCTCTCTAGTTCAACTCCCCATGCCCACACTGACAGAGTTATTCCCACTGCTCTGCTCTTTCCATTCACAGTGCTATCCTGGTCATAAATAGAGCAATCAGTGCACATCCTCTGAGCAGCCAAAGTTTTCTTCCTCTTCATTTCAAGATTGCAGTATCCCCTACTTGATCCCACCCCTTTCTAGTGGATACTCCCAAGGGCATGATCTGATGCACAGCCCTGTGTTTCTGATACTCCAGGGCACCTGGCCCCTGCTCTGAAGCCTCATTACACATCCAAGCCCATGGACTTGCAAGATAGCCAGCCACTCCCTCTGAGCAGCTTATTGCTGGATTAGATATGAACCTCGGGGAGCTGGGGGAGGTTCATGAAAGGCCAGCATTAATGGCCATTAGGGAGAGAAATAATTACTTAATGCTAGTACAGCACTTTGAGGATGTAAAGCCATATAAGTGCTATGTAGAAGTAGTATTATAAGGCTTGAGGTTTGTCTGCTACCAAGAAAAGCTGGTGTCTAGGGGAAAAGTTCTCCTTGTCCCAGCTTTCTGAATGACATCCAGCTGATTAGGAAAGGAAAAGATGACATGTTATCCCCCAATGAGTCTGACAGTACAGCAGCAGGTAGTGGAGCAGCAGTGCTCAGCAAAGAGTGTGCAATAAATCCACTGTTCGGGCCACCAGCAGAGATAACCTGGAAATCAAAACCAGAGTAGGGCTGAAAAACCCTCATGCAAATTTAGGACTGGTGAGAATAGAGATACTAGCACTTGAAAAGCAGCTTTTGAGTGGGAAGCCCTGTTTTTGCCCTTCCCAGTTCATATACCAGCACCAGGGCTGTAGCCCAAAGCAGCATTCAAAGGGGAATTACTGAGCCATCTTGTCTACACCCACAGATGGAAGACAGCTCCATGGATCTCAGTTCAGAATGGGATTTGGTCTCCAGCATACTCTTAGCCTGTGGGGTTTTTTTTCTTTTTGTGCAGTTTCCTTTGCAATGTTGAAATAAAAACCAAACCAGACAAACAAACCCAAACAAAACAACAAAAATAAGCCTCAGTCCTTTTGTTTTCATTGGTCATTTGACATTTGCTTTCCAAGGTCATTTGACACCTTTCCTCCTGCTTCTGGCACACTTGATAGAGGCTCTGCTCCTGCCTTGGGAAGATCATAAGAACCACTGTAGGTGTCTTTGTGTCATGCAGCATTATTTGAACTTGCCATTTTTGTGCAGGAAACTGACACATTTGAGTTTG